CACCAGACTCTCCTAGATTTCTTCCAAGGCTTTTATTTCAATTCTTTGCTACCCCTGCCTGAGAAGGACATGACAGATTGTATGCTTTCTCTACTTTGTGAGACAGAGAGAGAAGGAAAAAGAAACTTTGGGGCTTTTAAAATCTTATTTTACTCCTAACAGGTTAGATGGAAGGGGAAAACGTTTTTTATGAATAATTATGAACTATGTTTCTGTAACAACTGCAAAGTATGTGTTTCCATATTCAGCCTTTTCATGCTTACAGAGAACATAAAAAATAACATAGAAAGGATTGAAAATCAAATCAACATGTTAAAAGCATGATATGCTGTCTCTGTAACAAACCACATTTACAGTAATTGGAAAATTTCTCCATGTGCTGGCCAGCAATGATGTTTTTTAAGTGTTTTCATTTCCAATGAGGAAGTGTTATTATTTCCACTTCAGGAACCTTGCCGAAGAGATGCTAGCAATATCCCTTTTGGAGTTCAGGATTTTTCATCAACAGGCTGACACTGCACTACTAAAATACCAGTACATATTTATCCTGCTTCAGCTCTCTTTTAACCTTTTCCATTCTTGGAAGCATCCAGATGCATCACATCACTTTATAAAAGCAAACTGAGCATAGCCTCAGTTTTCTGCTTTAAGCAAATGATATTTCCATAAAGTAAACCAGCACCCACTACAGAGATGGGCTGTGGTAAAATATTTTTCCATATTTTTTTGCCAAGGCCAAGGTCATTTTGGTGTTGGCTAAAGCTGAAGTAGGTTCAATATTACTTGCAAACTCTTCTGAGACAAACAGCCTGACAGACCTTTTCCATTAGTTTTATTCTTATTCAGCCTCATACCAAATCTTTCTATAGCTACTTGTGCTTTTTAAATTTGGTTTTCTGTAATGCTTATCCAAGACAGGCCAGTGCTAATGGACTTGGCTTCTGTGCCCAGATACAGACGTGGTTTCAGCCTGAAGTTGGTAAAGGAGAAAAGGGTTATCATAATCAGTTAGCTTAAATAAGCTAACATTAAAGTTGTTTTCTCTACAAATTTGTTTTTGAGATATCTGTTGGTCAGCTGTTCCACTTCTGAATTAAATATGCCTTTTTGAGAAATTCAAAATTTCAGTGAAACCCCAGACATTCTTCTGATCCTGGAATACTCAGTATGGTTTGTGCTTCAGCATACTGATTCTGAATTTCTGCTGTATTGCAAAGTTATACTGAATGAATACTAAATGCGTCATAAAAGCTTCATTTCCCAAACCTTTTTTTCACTTTACAGAATTTCTGGTATGTTCTTACGGCAATGTTCCTACAAAAACTCCTGGCATTACTCCTTCACGGACTATTTCATGCCCCCTCCCCACCCCCCCTTAATGCCCTTTGAGCATTTAGCACTGTGCCCTACAACTAGAAATTACATAGACATACTTTTTAGTCTCATTTTAAAACAAGGTTTCTTTATGTAAAGGCATAGTACAGTTCATAGCAGGAAGACAGAAGCCAGTAGTCAGAAAACATTTATACTCTGAAGCCTGTGGGGCCTTTAGGACCATATAACATATTTCTGTTCTCTGAATAAATGGCCATTTACCTCTGAAATATTCTGATGTTGCAAAGTTTACCATGATCTACAACAGAAATAGCAACTACATGTGAGCCAAAAACCAAAGATGAAGCATAGCTTGCAGAAGAAAATGTGTACAACTGAAATCGCCTGAAATCCATGCTGAGCTGTGCATTTGCCATCAGTTTATAGGCAATTTCTGGGCTGGAGGCTGATTTTGGTGCTGCATAAGCAGGCTATGCAGAGTAAATTCTACAGTTCTTTATGTTACTTTAAACTTTGTTTTAAATGTTGTTCATTTTAGCTACTGTTCAAAAACAGTGGCTTTACCACAACAGCGTATATAATGCCAAGTATTTGTAAGACAAGAGTACCAATGTGTTGCTTTACTTTTTGCTTCCCATACTTTTTCCTCATTTATACAGAAGGAACTTTTAAATGCTTGAGCAGGCATGGAGGATAAGATACTGAAGTGAACCAGTCTTTTCGCAATGCCAGGATTTAAATGAGGGCCTTCATGGGAGCATGCCGCAAGGGAGATGTTTCTTGGATGCATCCCAAAAGCTCCCCAGATATCTGATGTCATGCAGCAATCCCTATGGACTCCCAGCAGAAAATGCAACGTTCAGCAGAAAAGCAGCTCACTCCCTTTCCTGGTTTTCTGCACCCAGGTTGCTGGTATTCTTGATAAATTCCCTTCTGTCTTCCTTCTGTTTTATTGCCCTCTGAACTTCCAGCTATTGCCAGAAATTACTTTACAAAGTTCTACACTGATTTTTATTTGTGTTGTTCTTTCAGCCTTTGCTGTGGTGTGCCTGCTGCTGTTAACTGTGATGAAGATTTCAGACCCTTCACTCAAGTCTTTGTAGAGAAAGGTAATTGTTACTTTCAGTGCATGTCTTTCAGAAAAAAACCGAAAACAAACTGATTTTCATTTGTATGCACATAGTTTCATGGACAATTTAAGGGTATTCATATTAGATTTTCTCATTGCAGTCTTGAGACTTTTGTCTTTTAGGTGTGATTTGGAATTAATAATGGCTACTCATTCAGTCTTGTTCTGTCAGTGTAAGCCTTCATCTTTTCCACCATTTGATACTTTTCAGTTAAAACTTAGAATTCTGTTGCTTTGTAATCCTGACCCCTAATAGGTATTGCCTTGGATCAGGCTGTTGCGTATCTTTCATCAAGTTCCATTTTTTACCAAACCTTTGCCTCCTCAGTCACTAAGACTGCAGATCCCGAATTGCAGACTTCCTTAAAAAATAGACATTCCAAGTCTGCTTTCCATTGGGGTGAGAGACTATTTGGATATAAAATTTAAATTAAACCTGGATAATGTGTGCCCGATTGAAAACAGCAGTGGCAGGCAGCTGCAGCAGGAACAGCATATACTTCTTAGTCTCTAAATGTAAAAAAAAGACAACATATTTAGTAAGGCTAGGGGTTTTTTTACTCTCTGTGGCACTGCTGAAAGCATAACCATGCTGACAAAGCTATAGCTGGGTGATTTACAGTGCAGTACTTCCATGAGGAGACATCAAAAGGGGAGTCCACTAGAGCCCAAGTACCAGCCAAATCAGCTGACTGTCAGTAACACCACCTGGGTGGAAATGGATGGAGACAATGTACTATGATTGGCAAAGAACAGGGATCCAAACAAAACTTTAGGTGAAACAAGAGCACCCTGGGAATAGAATTGTTTCAAGAAGCCCCTGTGGGCTAACAGAGACCAAGAACAAATACCAAACAGCCTCAGCTGAATAAGCTTTAAACATTTTATAAAAAGCTCAAACACAGTACCTTAGCCTAATCCAACCTATTTATATGAGTGTTTTGTGAACTTAATTACAGACTTAAAATGTTTCCAAATGAGTGGAGTGCTTCTGTTACAATAGCTTGTCTAGCTGGGCTTCTCAACAGAAAGTCATCTGGAAAGAGAAGATGCCTAGACACTGAAAGTATTTCTCATCTTGAGGTGTTTGTGATCTCAAAAGACTCCAGAACTTCCAGAGACTACTTTAAATCAATTCAGTAAGTGAAGGCTTCAGTTACTGCTCCTGTTGTCTCTGGTTAGTTTTTTGTTGGCTGTCTGACTACTTGGTTTATTTTTTGCTTTTGTCTCTTGGTGTTAGTCTTAAGACCATGTGAGCTTATGTGAAGTGCCTCAGTAGGCTCTGCAGTCAATACCCAGGCACACTGATAGCACAGGTTACCATGGAGCATTAAAGGCCCCACAGAAGTGACAGCTTGCACTCAGTAACGATGTGTCTTACATTAAAGGGCTTGGCCTTGTAGGTAAGTTCATCACTGAGCTCCCAGGAACCTACCAGACACACGGGAATAGGTGCCTTCCCTCAAGGAACAGTAAAGAAGGGAGCAGCTTGTGGAGCTCAGTACAGTTGAAATTGAGATGAGCAGCTGGTCTCTGCAGCAGCTATTTGCTTCACATGTGCACAGAGACAGGACAGCTTGTCATTACAGAAAGAAGCTGATGTGAGGGGAAGGGGCTCTAGACTGAGTTTGAATTATAGGTGTCTAAAATTATGGCAGCCTAAGAAATGGTAGACCCAAAGGCCCCTGAGTCCCGTAAGCCTTTAATCTACAGTGCCCAGAAGAATATGAAAAAAAGCAGAGATACATCTCAAGTGTCTGGCTTATTTTCCCCAACTAAATTAACTGTAAGCGCCGTAGATATTTACCACATGCAGAAAGTGACAAGATGATTGTTCAAGTACTTACTTGCTTACTTTACAAGGCAACGTAAATATTGTTGCACGCAAATCTCCCACAAACAGCAGTAGGAGTTTCAGCTCTGGATGACTGCAGGATCCGGCATAATCTTTGTGAGGTGGTGATTTTTTCCATGAAAGAAGAAAAATTATATGAAAGGAGTTGGTAACTTTACAGACCCTTTCTTTTTGTGATCTCAGCTTGATTTAACAACTCAAAAATGGTAAAGACAAATTTCTAAGTTACATGCACGGTTCAAGTGTGCCACAGTTCTGCTACTAGATTCACCCAAAATATTGTTTCATGAAAAAGAAACACTTCTTACTAAGTCAGCTCCATAGGATGCACTGTAATGGGGTTTTCCTTGAACATATCAGATATCTTGTTTAAGAGCAAATTCTGTGTCTCATTTTCCCATCTTACCCTATCAAGGTTTATTGTTTTACACTTTATACTTGATCCTGCATCATTTTCCCATCCAAGTTTTTTATCAATGACAAACTATGTGGCCCTGAGCAACTCGGAGGAGTCCCTCTGTCCCAAGCCGTGTGTTCGAGCCGCTCTACAGGCCAGGCTGTTAGCGGAGCAGTCGTTTCTTAGGGGCAGAAGAGCGGAGCCGAGCAGCTCAGGTTTAAGGGCTTTTCTGTTGAGAAGGGAGAGGGGTGCGTGTCCCGCTCGCTGCCGTGTGACAGCCCCGCGGGGGCGGTGCTGGCGGCCCTGCGGCCGGTGCCCGGGGCCCCGGCCGGCAGCCGCGGCAGCGGAGCCCCATGCGGCACGGGCGGCCCTAGGCTGCGCCTCGGCCGCAGCATGCCGCTCCCGCTGCGCCTGGCGTGGCTGCTCGGGCTCTGCAGCCTCTGCCGCGGGTACTTCGAGGGGCCGCTGTACCCCGAGATGTCCAACGGGAGCCTGCACCACTACTTCGTCCCCGACGGGGACTACGAGGAGAACGACGACCCCGAGCGGTGCCAGCTGCTGTTCCGGGTGAGCGAGCAGCGGCGGTGCGGCGCGGCGGCGGCGGGCGGCGGGCTCAGCCTGCGCGAAGAGCTGACGGTGCTGGGGCGGCAGGTGGAGGACGCGGGCCGGGTGCTGGAGGGCATCGGCAGGAGCATCTCCTACGACCTGGACGGGGAGGAGAGCTACGGTGCCTACCTGCGCCGCGAGTCCGCCCAGATCAGCGACGCCTACTCCAGCTCGGACCGCTCGCTGAGCGAGCTGGAGGGCAAATTCCGGCAGGGCCAGGAGCAGGGCGGCCGGGAGGAGTCCCGCCTGGGCGACAGCTTCCTGGGGCTGCTGCTGCACGCCCGCGCCCTGCTCCGGGAGACCCGCCACGTCTCCAGCGGGCTGCGCGACAAGTACGACCTGCTGGCGCTCACGGTGCGCAGCCACGGCGCCCGCCTCAGCCGCCTCAAGAACGACTATCTCCGCGCCTGAGCCGCAGCCACCGAGCCCGGACCCGCCGCGGCCTCTGCAGGCACCCCCGGCCCCACCGCCGGGCCCCCGAAGGCACAGCCCTGGCGTCCGCCTGGAAGGAGCACCTCCTTGGACCAACCCCGCAGTTAGGAAGCTGGGAAAAGACATCCGAGATCATCAAGTCCAGCCTTTGACTGAATACCACCACGCCCACTAAACCATGTTAAGACGTGCCACATTTGCTCGTTTTTTGAACGCTTCCAGGGATAGTAACTCAACCAAAATACATTCTTCTTCATGGAAAAAAAACCTTATTTATTTTACCTTCTAAACAAATAGCCCAGTTCTATAAACCAAGAGGTTCGAGGTATGTTTAAGTTAATGTCCCATATTAAAAAAATCTACCCTCTGTTATATACCATCTTTGATTGCAAAGTGAAGTAAGCTTTCTGATGTCTGATTCCCTGTTTGTTTTTGTATCACCTGCTCTGCTGTGGGTCACCCGTCCTAAGTGTAGCTGAAGTGAGGTGCTGGCCAGCTCCTTCCAGACTCGTGTGTAGCAAATACTTAAATTGCTTTTGTTGTTAGTCCTTCAGGGTGACACCTCTGGCCCTCCTTTCTAATGATGTGTATTATATGTTCCTTAAATGTTGTTCCACTATGTAAAGCTGTGATTTTCATTTGTGTTTGGAAAGATGGGAACTATTCTGGCAGGATTTGTACTTCCAGCCTTGCTTATCTGTGACTCTAAGCTATCATAACCCTAAGAAGCAGCCAAAAAGGCTTATGTCAGATCCTGAGAATGCTCGTGGAGATTTTTATAGCAAAAAGAATGAGCCCTAGCGCTGATTAGAGTTTTGGATCCCAGATTTGAGAGCCAGGAGCATGTTTCTAAAGCAGACAAAAAGGTTTTGTCTGTGCAAGCACATTTGACTTCTCTTGTTGGTGACTTTGTACTTTTGCTAGCTAAGTTATTAATATAACTTTGTGGTCCTGGACAATAGCAAAAGTGCCTGGTGGGAAAGAGGGTGGGGTTTTTAGACTCATTGCTATTTAACTGACAATTTTGGGTAATGTGGCTATTAGGTTACAGATACTGCAGGCAGAATACCTGTTGGGACGAAATGAAGTTTATAGGTTGTTGTAATAAATATTTGAGAACAATGTTAAAGTACATTTTTGTTATTACTTTCCAAGACGCTCTTGATTTTAAAACATTCTGTTGAAATGTGTCTTTTCAGCAAAACATTGAAAGTTTGTAACTCCTGCCAAGTGAAATAACTTGCTTTTTAGTAAAAACAAATAAAAATTTACAGAGTCTGAGGTAATCAAGTTTCATTAAAAGCAACAATACAAAAGGCCTTGCGGGGCAGACTTTTTTGAGTTTTTAAGCCTTTTTAAGCACCCCTGGAAGAGAAGGTGATGTACTTCTGAGGTCTGTTCTTGTTAACCCTGCTCCCATTGAGTTATACTTCAGTCTGCAAACCATTCAGTGGGGTGAGGTACTCAGCAGTGCAGTGGGCCAACATAAGTCAGCTTGGACTAGAGTGCTGAAGACACCACGAAAGTTTCCTGGAGGTAGGTGCTTACAGAGCCAGAGGGCTCATTTTGCTGAAGGCAGTGAAATGTAGCCTGCTGGCAAGATACTTCAGATGTCATTTTACATTTTTTAGTCCTCAGTACCTTTAAAGATTTGCTAGAAAAAAAAAAAAGTAAACATTTTATTGGTTGACTGTGGTGGAGCCACTCAGAGTTATTTTTCTGTTCTCAAGTTAGAAACTATTTGACAAGTTCTAGCTCTTAAAAATTCATTTATTTTTGATGCTTTCCTTGCCTCTAGATGTGGATGGCACAACAGAAGAGTGAGCCGAGTCACGGATTATTGTATGCTCACTATCTTAGCAAAACATAATAGCATTCCTGGGCTGGACCAAGCTCCAGAAGTGCCTGACTGGCGTCTCCCCCAGAGATGTCATGCAGTTCCATTAGTGCCTAGAGGCTTCTTAAAGGAAGTTTAAGTCTGTGTCTTACCCACTTTGAGTCATTTGTTGTAACATGAAGTAAATAAACATCAATGTTTGTTATAACATCAAACGGTTTGTTATAACACATCAGTAAATAAACAAAAATGGCATGACCGTGCTATTTTTTAGGCATATGAGAGCAGTATTCAAATCCTAATAGAAAATAAGTAGTAGCATAAAACACAGCTTCTTGAATAGCCCTGAAGCAGCTTGACTATTCTATTTGCAGTAACAGATGTTCGGTCAAGCTGAAACTATTGCAATGCATGCAGCATACCAAAAGAGTAAATGTTTGCAGAATGCTTACTTTTCAAAGCAGGAGATGTGTGAGTATTTATAGTATAACTCATTCCAGTCAGTGCCCTGTAAATTGTCATCTAATGAAACAAGACTGTGGTACTTTACAGTCCACACTAATGTTTCACATCATATATGAATTCTTGACACTTTTTATGTTTCAGTAAAATAGAAACATTTTTCTATTTTAAATGTGGCAGAATTCTGATTTTGTTTCAGTAGCGTTGATTTTGGAAGGCTTTAAATGGTTCTTTCTAAGAGAAAATGAAGATATCTGAGTCTGGTCTATGTATAAGTTCATGCATTTAATAAGAAAGGTCAACTTTATGTGGATTTGATGAAGCTAATACAAAAAACTTTTAGGACATTTAAATCTACTAGAGTTTGATTTACTTTGATAATTTTGGCTGACCTAAGCAAAGGTATATGTTAAATATATCATTTTTGAGTCAGAGGTGATACATTAAATGGTTTTTGTAGAGCTGCCTGCAAGAACTGAGTGCTTAGTGATATTCAGCAGTTTAAGTTTTAAATTAAATTTTTTTCTTTAAAAATTATTAAAACTATATTGCAATACTCTTTACAATCTTATAAATGTCTTTCTTTTGCTTTTTATCTGATAAAACTTATTTGTTTTCGTGGTATGAAGATCCCCTGGATCTGGATCTTTATACAGCCTATTTTAAATAGTAAAGGTCTTTTTATTGTTGAAAATGTGGTAATTACTTTTAAGCAAAGAGCTTTAAAAGGATGATTGTAGCACAGTCATCCCCATTATGTCCTTAATATCCCCTATGTTATGTTAAAATACTATATTGGTACTAGATTCCTTTTCAGAATGCAGAAGGTATCTGACAGTGGGGGTTTTTTTGTAGTTTTCTGATGATTTTCAAAACATGTATTATTTAATGAGATGATCATGCTGAAGAGCAAAAGACTATTTTCGGGGGGGGGAAAAAAAGTGCTGCAGCTGGAAAAGTCATAGAGAGCTCACTCAATATTAAGTTTTTCATCAAGGGGAACAGACTGCCCAGAGAAGGTGTGGATACTCCATCCTTGAAAGTTTTCAAAGCCAGGCTAGACGGAGCCCCGAGCAACCTGGTCTAGTGGAGAGTGTCTCTACGAGATGATTTTTAAGGTCCCTTCCAACTCAAAGCATTCTAGCATTAGAGTCAAAGCAAGGCACTAAGGGACTCACCTGCACTTCTCTCCAGGTAGCTCACTTTTGAAGGCAGTGCTCTGATGTGGATATTCTCGTATCCACTGATACACACAGAACAGAAGAAGCTCAGAGCATGCACAAAACCATTAATAAAAGCTCAAGAACGAAAAGTGTACTTGCCTTGTGCCAAGTTAATGGGTAGGAATTCAGAGGAGAGTGTGCAAACTGGATTTCAAAACTGCAATTTTCAGTTTCACAGGTTGACTTACCCAGGACCATCATCACAAAGAGAAGTCAAGCGAAGCTTTCAAAACCTTGGTGAGCCTTTAAAAAACCTTACGTGTGCCGAGCCGGGGTGTATGAATTGTCTGAAGCTAAATTGTTGCTCTTATAGGTTGTCACGTACTCAGATGCAGTTTGGCAGGACGTAAACCTCATAAGCAAAAAATACACCTGGCTAGGTCACTAGAAACAACCTTATGAGCTACAGAGCTCTGGTTGTAATCTTTGTCTAGAAAATGTGTATTTTGTGGGGAAATTCTGTTGGATATGTGTATTACTGTTGATGTGGTTGCTTGTTTAGATGGTCTTCATGTTTCTTTACCAGTTTCTTGCTCATGCTTCTTGAATATCAATTTTGTGACTATTAAAGAAATTTTCAGCTAACACTGAAGTGTTATGAGTGCATTTCACAGCAACTATACCTAAAGTAAGCCTGTGGATTCAAAGTCTGTAATTTTTCTGTCTTTTAAAATGTATTTTTACTTGAAGTTCATTGGGGAAATTGTTTTTTTATTACCTGGGGTTTTCTTTTTTGGTGAGCCATTAGCAAAACGTTGTTCGATTTGAGAGTCTGCATTTCATTCCTATAATATGTGAAACTGACAAAAAAAAACCTGACTGTGCTACGTGATTCTTTAAAAAGCTGTTATTAGAACATATGTATAAAAAAAGGACTAAAACTGCCTATTTTCTTTTCTTCATTGAGTTGTCATCCTGCCTACAAGATCAATTTATAACTGAAAAGACAGAATTTAATGACTACGTCTGTAACAAGGAAAACATATGGTCTCCATAACCATTACATTTTTAATGATGTGGCTTGGACAGGGCCTTTCCTCCTTGAAAACTGCCTTACCTTGGGGAGGTACTGCTGGCAGTCTCCAGCATGCCATTAGCATTCTTTCATAAGAAAAGACAACGCCAAGAGTATCGTGTTTTCTCAGATGAAAACCTTCCTTAGACTGTGTACACCCCTTGTAGGTGCTTAGAAACTGTTTAGTAGTCATTGTTCGTGTCTAAACTCTCTTGGAGGGTCAGGGAGGAAAGTCGTTGGGGAAGGTTGGCTTAGGGAAGAGATTAATTATCCAGTGGTGTGGATGATGTGAATATTGTGAAGAGCGTGATGACCAAAAATATATATATACTTGCATCGTATTTTCCATACATATTCCACTCTGCAAATTTTTCCGTGTGACAGGAGTTACCAACATAGAGTAGTTTCAGTGTTAAAATAGAAATTTAGTATATTAATACTAACAGTTTGGTGTTATATATTTGGTATATAGTGTAAATGTTATAATTTACACTAAAAATTTGGACACACTCCAAACTGCAAGATGTATTTTTTCTGTCTACTTGTTATCTCTTCTTAAAAATACTGTGACTGTGATTTTTAGTTTAGTGCCAGGTTTTAATCCACAAAAATGAATTCAGTGGAGTTTTAGTTTCTCAGCTGGTTTTATCTAAGACCTTGTTATGGCTTTTTTGGGGTAATGATTAGGAATTATTTCCTTTACACTTTCTGTGTGGACAGCTTCTTGGTTAATGAAGAGCAGTTAATTTTTCTTAGTAGCAGGCTTTGTCCTTTCTTCATTAATATGATTTTGTTTCTAATTTAATGTAATTCATCTGAGATTTGTATTAAAGTGTAATGCACTTTTTACTTAGGATTCAAACAGAGGTACAACAAAATGCAAGCTAATTCATAATTCATAACTGGATCTGCATATAAATCAGGATGCTATTAGATTTGTGACTTTAAATAATATCTCACATACTCTCTACTTTCAGAAGAGAAAACCTAGGAAAAAAAAAGAGTGAATGAACAAGAGGCCATCTTCATCTGATCTACCAGATGTAGGTTACATGTGGTATTTAAAAGCCCAGGTTCTTTTGTTTCTTTCCACACACCACCACAATTCCTTCTCCCTCCTAGGAGCTTGAAGTGGTCTTCAGGCAATGTCTCCACTGCAGTGCTGTGCAGCCATGAAGGAAGGTGGATACAGGGGGCTCTCTGCCTTCATGGTGCTATTTGCTGTTGGCTTGTGAGGTAACAAGTCTTTTTCTGCAGACACTGGCACATGTAGGCACTCTGTGGTGATCAGGAGTGGGGCTGGGGCCGAGTCTCATCCCCAGTGGGTGCAGCACAGGTGAATGCTATTGAAGGTGAGGAGCCATGGGGTGCCCAGGGGTGCTGCCCAACCCCGCAGGGAACAGAGGGCACACAGGAGCACTGCATGTAAGATGAAGAGTATAAAAAGCTGGATTAAAGAACAAGATGGGCAGATGCCTGCAGCCTTCTGAAGAGGTATGGTATTACTCTGTTTGGGGGATGCCTAAAGCCGCCTGATACCGTATCGTGGTACTTTGTGTATCCTGGCCGTCTGGACTGTGACATATGCTGTGACACCAGAATACAAGGTGATGTAGTCTAGCCTTGCAACCAAAGGCACTAGACACGTTGTATTTAGGCAAGAGTGATACCAGGGGTGATTTCAGCCAGAAAACAAACTTTCTGACACAATTTGAAGCATTAGAAAGTAGGAATTCTTTATTCTCAGCATGCTGAACACACTCAGAAAATATCTCCCTCATTAAGTGTGTCATGAAACTTTACAAGTTATTTGTTCCACCGTGATCGTACATCTTAATTAATAAGTATATTTCCTAGCTAACACACAAACATCACTTTTTCTGGAACTAATTTGCAGGCATCTGCCTCTTACTGGGAGTCCTTTTGTGGTCCTACAGGGTTGTCTAAGGGTCTCTGGTGGTCGTACTCACTGAGTGTCCCCAGTGTTGCAGATGACCTCACCTTGAACTTCTCTCAGGGCATACACTGTTTCTTCTTTTTACATGGCTTTGCCACAAAAGCCACCGTATTCTTCATTATCTGCTTATCTACTGGTTGCCACTATGTTTAGCATCCTTTGTGTCTACTTTTACTTTCTTGTATCTATTCTGCTAATTAGTCTTTAAGCTCTATTTAACAACTTCAAGGGGAACTGAAAATATCTATTGTCTGTCAAGATGTCCAGTCCCCCCTTTTCTTGAGACTATCTCTTTTAGGCAAGTCTCAATGCTTCATTTTCCAGCACAAAGTGTTACAACAGTTATAACATTGAATCATAATACAGGCAGGTACACACACTACAATGATTACAATGACTGCCATAAAAGTGTTTTGTAGCAGTCTCCAATTTGGTAACCGTGAAGTAAGCCAATCCCACCAAGAAGAATTTTCCTCTTTGTGTCGCTCTTCTACTGCTCTTTCTGTCGAGGTGATTCCTGACTGTTGGACTTCAAACCCATCATTGATGGATGTGCTGTTTAATACTTAAACAGTATCATTTGCCACTTCTAATAATCTAGTTAACTTCTTTATATAAACTCACAGGACAAGGTAGCGCACATGGGGCATAGCATGAACCATAATCTTCTGCTTTCTGAAATCAAAGGGGTGTATTGCAGATCATGCTGCAGTCCCTGGATGGAAAATGTTCTTTTGGCCCTAACTCTTATTGTGCATTTTGCCAAAGTACCCTAATGAGAGAAATTAATATTGCTTGGAAACAGGACCAAACTCTCCTTTAAGAAGCAATTTATAGGCATTGTTTCTGCATAGACAATAGGTGCCACTCCCAGTACCAAATATCTGATTTCCTATTTTCCACTACTGCACTGCTGATGGAGTTAGGGCTTCTATACCTGATTCTTTTGTGTCCTCACTGCCATTAGGCCAGGGGCAGTCAGAGAGACTAAATGTGTTTTGCATGGTGCAGCTGAGAAAGAGGGGACTGTGTGCCTGACCATTACCTGGCACACAGATCTCGCCTAGGAAACTTGAGCACTAGTGACAAATTGAGTTGTTGTGAAATGCTTTATTGAATAGACCAGTGAAGACGTGCTGGGTGGCCTCTGTGCAGAACTTAACCCAGAATACTCTTACCATTCCACTCATGCATACCAGAAAAAATCCTCCTGAAAGGAGAAGCTTCTGGTCTGGTGCTGTGTGTAGGGAAGAAAAACTAGACTTGTTTTCTCCCATCTTATCTTAGTAGCCTCCTGCAAGTGGCCCATGTGCAACCCCTCCTCCACATGCATTTTGCATGACCAAGTTACCTATGACCAGATGAACAAATACCAGTTAAGTAACATTTGTAATAGCAAGACAATGAACACACCTCAGTGTCCTGCCACAAAAAAAAAAAAATTCTATTACCACTAGTGTATTAGGAGTCTCTTAGAAGTAAGTTTAGATTTCTTAATTATATGATAAAATAGGAGCTGTCTAGAAGCCCTTTAAATCTGGCAAGCTTCACATAGGGCTTCAGACTTAGTGATGAATCTTCCCTTTGAGACATTCAGAAAATAGAGGTTTAATATATTTTCCAGTCCCTTGTTTTGGCATTTTGAAAAAAAATATTTATAGAATATCTATATACAAAATCTAGGTAGCTAGAACTGCCTTGCTAAAGAAGAGCCTTTGCTTAGGTTAAATGCTAAGCATGTGAATAACAATACAATTATTTGGCAATCCACTTACACAAAATGAGAAATTTGTGTACAAAAGTAGCGTGTGGACTACTGGATAGATGAATGTAGTGAGAGTATGAAATACATTATGGAGAAACTTTGAAATTAAATACTTAGGGGTTTAATATGTATATCCAGACCTTTGGATTTTTCCTGCTTCCCCTATTTAGTAAGCTGGAGGAGCTTCCTGATGGCCTTAAACATCTAAAGCAAGTTCTGGTTCTCATGGTCTTTTCTTGAGCAGATAGCTACAGGAGTGCCTGCTAGATTTAGTACACAGAGACAAGCATCCCTGTCGCCAAAGGAACTGGGTGGTTGGTTCTGGGAAGAGTGCTTTGTTCTACAATTCCTTACACATTGAAAGATAAGTGGAATAATTTGGTCTGACCATTTCTGTTGCTCAGGTGCCTCAGTTCATGTGGATGTGAGGATCATGCCTTGTGCTGGACAATTCAGCATTGTCCAGGGGTCAAGCAATGTGACTCATTACTGTCAGGTAAACTGCTAACCTTGAACAGAGAACTATCCAGAAATGAGGTAGCAAAAGTTTGTGGCATGTTGATTTATTTTTTTTTTTAACCCTAAAGCATAACACAGCTTTTCAGCCATACATAATAAAACTTCATCCAAAAAATCTCAGAAGGACACTGCAGCCAGTCTTGCAATATTTTTACAGTTCAAAAGAAATTGCAGTATGGTAGAAATACACACACACATATATATGTGTATATATATAGACATATGTGTATTTATATTCACATTTGTAGAAAAGAAAATCTATTTAATCTAGATATAAACACAGTTTTGGATAAAAGGTGTTTAAGTCTGTATGCACAAAACTAGCTGTGCTGCATTGCAGGTGAGGATTAGTAATTACTGGGTTCCAGTGGGACTGCTATCCATAAACACAAGAAAGAAAAAAACCACAGTATTCTGCTTTGCTATATTCAATCAAATGAAATAAAAACAAACGGAGACCCAAGGGTCCTGTGTGGCCTAGTTCTAAACTGCAGCAAAGGAAAAATATTGAAAAACCATCTGATAACTCCAGAAGGCCTTTGTGAGTGAAAATACTGAAGCCCAGGACATTTTTTTTGTGCACAAAGACAGCTGGTGAGACTTTTGTCCTGGTAGCATCAATATGTTGCCCTCTAGCTTAAGAACAAAAAGAGAAGATTCTTAATAAATATGCACTATTTGGCATTGATTAAGTCATTAAAATATGTACGTAATGACTTACTGATTCAGGGAGCATCCCCTGAATTTTTCTGAATAAGAAAAAACATTAGACCAGAGCTTTTCTAATTCTAGGATCTGGATAGACCATCGTTCTGCAGTACAGTATGCAGCTGGCTTTAAATAAAAGAGTGTATCTATAGAAAATGGTCTGGCTGTGAAAGGAGAGAGGAACTCTCACAGAACTCGGTTGCTGTTGCTGTTTACAAAGCTTTTCCTTGCAGGGAGGTGGATTCTGCGTTTTCTATTCCACAGTATCCACAGCAGGGGTTATGGTGTAGGTACTTTCATGCTTTAGGTTTTGAACATGGTTAGTAGTAGCTCTGGCTTTTGGTTTGTGGAATTGGTTTTGGTGTGTCTTTCTGTGAGAGACTGAAATGTTATGGCTAAGGGCTCAAACATTGTTATGAAGGACTTGTTGCCCTTTCTGGCAAAACTGCATAATGAAACTGTGACCACCAAAGCCCACCCCTTCCTGAATATGCCTCCCGATTGGAACTTTGGATTGGGGAGTTAAGCGGCCTAAGGGAGCATGAGATAACAGTGACACTATTGTCCAGTTATGTCAGGGCCAGGGAGAAGTAAACAAGGCCTGGAAAGAAGAAGGTATCCACAAGAAAGCCAGACCCAGTCCTGAAAATGTGCTCTGGCTGTGTTCAGGGTGGGGGAGGCTGTAGCCCCCAGACTCATGTGCTGGGGCCGGGTTTGCACACACCCTTACCCCAGCCACGGGCAGAGGAGGGTTCAGGGCTGTTGCACCATCTCTGGTCAGAGGGTGTAGCAACGAAAGACAGCCAAGATGATGGATCAGATTGAAGGGATTTTTGAATAGCTGTGTCTGAGTATACCCTCTGTAAGCAACATATAATGACTGTTCCTGAAGTCTAGGTAGTTGGAAGGTAAGAGAGAATCATTGTAACACTGTCCTTTTGCTGTACTTACTTCTTCAGTAATAAGCTGCTCTTGGTGGTGTTTTAGGAGCCCGGGATGGAGTTCCCTGAAGAATCGTGTTTCCTGGGCTGTTGGGGTCCACTCTGGCTACCTATGGACCCTTGCCCACACGATACTTCATAGACGATGGTAAAAGATTAGAGAAGCGCTCTCCTCCACGTGGGAAACGTTGTCCTTTATTCCAAGACACACATCAGGTGGGCAAACCCATGGGATAAAAGAGAGCGTTCCCTGCTGGCAGGGAGCATTTATATCCCCTGGGATGGGGACAGAGGGAGAGGTCCACAGCCAACGGGACGCCAGCAAGGAGTGACGAGGGGAGGGGTAACCCAGGGGAGAGACCACCAGGTGGTACCGGGATAGGTGAGGGAAAGAGCATGGGATAGGGAAAAGGGGTAACACAGCACATAATGTTGCATAAGCTATACAGTGCAATATAGAACTATTCTGTGCAAATTCCCAATCACCCATTGCAAGAGAGCAACTAAACTGGTGCACCACAACAGTTCCCTCTGATCTTTTTGCTATAGAACCCAATATATAATATAACAATGCTTTTTAAAACTCTGCCATATGCTTCTCCTAGTTGTTGAAAATACAGACATTTCTTGCACGTTTAACGGCAATTCAACTTTTCCCTCTCTTTATTCTTTAAGCGGCTTCAAAATCGAAGGGAACAAAAGGCGGACGGTTTCGGGAGCTGCCCCCTGACGTCTCCCCGTGACGTTTCGGCCGCGGAGCCCGGCGGGCGCCGGGAGCGGGGCAGGGAGCGCTGGGCATGAGCGCGGCCGTGCGCGGGGTGCGCGCTGCGGGCGGGGGCCGCTTCGTCTGCGTGCGCTGGGAGGACGGCAGCGAGAGCAGCTACCCCTGCGTCTGGCTGCGGGACAGCTGCCAGTGCCCCCTCTGCTTCCTGCCCTCCGCCGGAGCGCGCCGGCTGCTCCTCGACCACCTGGATGTCGACATCGTGGCGAAGCAGGTTGCCCTGGCAGACAGCACAAAGGTATTTGAAGCAAAGCGTCGTTCGCCTTCTCGTGAAACTTGTCTAGCGATGCTCATTAGTCTAAATGCGAGACAATTCCGAGTTATGCTCTAATCACCGTTTGCTTGTTTGGAAACCTTACCTTGCAAAGCTTTCAGGAAGAATCGCAGTTTGGAGATTTCAGATCTTTCCACCTTCTTGTGAAACTTAACTGTATGGATGTTATGCAGAGGCTGCATAAACCCAAGCTTCAGCTTTTATCATATAATAATGCTTTTAAAAATTGTGCCATATGCTTCTTCATCACTAGTTGTTGAAAATACAGACATTTCTTGCACATTTAATCACACTTACACTTTTTCCTCTCTTTCTTTTCTTCAACTAAATGGCTTGAAAATCTGAAAAACAAATGGCAAGATGATAATGATGACTTTAATCCATAACAAAAATATCAGCTTTATTAGCAAACTTTCAATGCAAAATAACCTTTATCTTGAATGAACACTCAAACCAAAGTTGAATCCAATAATCAATATCAGCTTTATTAGCAAACTTTCAATGCAAAATAACCTTTATCTTGAACACTCAAACCAAAGTTGAATTCAATATTAAGGATTGGACTAATGTCTGTGTCCCTGTCTACTTATCTACATTAGCATTTCTTCCTGAAAATGGAAGGTTATCAAGCAAGAGAGGATAGGAGCTGCCCTACTTATGAATTTGAATTTTTCCTGATATATACAATCCTGGTATATTATTTAGATTTTTTTTATCTTTTATTAGAAGCAGTACATGGCTCCTTTGGCAAACTGGTTTCCTTTGTTTTATACTTAAAGATGTTTTAAACATATTGAATATGCAGCAGTCAGCCCTGGTCAGATGGAGCAGCCTTGCTGCAGGGGCAGTTTGCAGAGGCTGACTCACGTGTGAGTACCTCAGCCACAGGATGAGGGTCTCTGGTGAGGAATTCTGGGCTCCCAAGCTGATTGTAGACAAAATGAATGCAATGTAAATTCATTATTTGATCAGGCAAATTAGGAATTGTCTGCTTCCACTTATACTCAGGAACTGATAAAAGCACAGCACTAATGGTAAAAATTATATTGATAGTGTTTTATCATCATGTGAATGAGCAGAGCCATGTGAATTGGGAATTGATACATATTCATCCACCTTAAAAATTGAGCTGAGAGTCGGTGCTGGACTGAGCTCTTTCAGATCATGACAAGCAAAGCCATATGTTTTCTATCCATGTTTTTTTCAGGAATTGAAAAACCCAACTCTTTTTAAAAATTTATTTTATAGAGGGAAGACTTCAAAAGTCTAAGAGATGGATTTCTCTCCTAGCACAAGGTCCTTGTCTGTCTTGTTCTTTTTCTTTTCTCTTGACCTGTCAGTGTTTTGCAAGAAATTTTCGCTCTTCTGAGCTGGGGTAAAGTGTACTCCCCAGTGATACGTGCCCGTTTTTACAATTCCCTTCTTTCTGTTAAGTGCAGCTCCCACAGTGGAAACAGTCCACACAAACCAGCAAATTAGGTCATGAGTTGAAATGAAAATGAACATTTATAGAAAGTGTCAGAATTTGAATGGTGTTTCAGCTGGGTTTTCATTACTTGTTTGCTGTCATGCTTCAGGGAAAGTTTAACTCTGATATTATTGATCTAAGTATTACAATTTCTGCTGTTTCTAAGGGGTTTTGTTATTCTAGATGATATTTTTCAAAGATTTTTTTTAAATTCACCTTTTCCTTTGTGTTGAAAGATCTCTATTACATGGCCTGATGAGCACACAAGTGAATACGAAGCTGAGTGGTTGAAAAAACGATGCTTCTCTGAAGAAGCCAGAGCTGTCATGCGAGCAGATTTATTTTTACCAGGTAGGAATTAAATCCATGTCTGCCATGCTTGTGACCAAATGCAAGGGGTTTGACACTGACAGTCCTGGCTAGAGGTGCCTGTGTGGGGACCGGGCACACACAGCTGAAGCCGTGGCAGCAGCCCTTGGTGCCCAGTGCCAGGCTGTGCATGTGTGACAGGGACCCATGGTTATCTTTTCCCTCTTCTACCTGCTCTGCCTGAGAGAAGTACAATTAATTGGGCTGCACTCACTTTCCTAAAAGCTTTGTCTTTTCAGAAAGTGTTAATAGGTCTCATAAATAAGCCATGGATGACCAGTGGTCTTGACTATGCAAGTGTGTGAGTGCTATTTAAACTATTTAAATTTTTATAAAAAGAAAGATTATTTGAATTGCAAGGGAGTTACAACTGAAATATTTTCCCCCTTTTTCATGGCCTTCTTGTTAAAAAGTAACTGTGTAGCATGGCACTGTGTAGTGCTGAAGTTCAGGTTGTGTTTGCTTTGCTTCCTGTGCGTATTTTAGCAGTAGACTGTCTTTTGATCACGAGGTATTTTGTACAACTGCCTTTGTAACATTTACGCTGTACAAATCACTTACCCTTTAAAGTGAATAATTCTAAACCCACAAGTTTTGGCATGATGCATATCATCATTACTTTGACAGCATTTCAGACTGAGCATGAAAGTGTGAAAGCTTGCAAAATATCTGCGGTTGCTCTTGACAGTGTTCCTGTGAGATCTGCTGTTGCAGAAAGCTGTGTGTCTGTGTTCAGTATTAAGAAAGTATCTGTTAAAATAGGACATTACTGGTTTAAAAGATAAGAAATATCTCCATTCATTGCAGTGGATGCGGTAATAGACTCTTCATAGTTCAGAATGGAACTATTTTCCCCTGGTAATACAAAAGTTTCTATCCACTTTTGGCAAAAATAAACAGTTGTGTTTACTATTTTGAAGAGTTTGGCATGCTTTCAGAGTGAATATAGTGAAGATACAAACCTCATTCAGGGAAACTAGACTTGATTTTTCAGATGGCAGGCACTTTTATTTGTGAAAATGAATAGCCTATGAAAGTTAGCAGGATATTTTGTAGTCTTCAAAGGGGTCATCGTAAATTGCTTTAATTAATACCCAGACAAAATAATCTAGATCTCAGGTTGTGTTCATTGGCAAAGGTATTAATTACTGAGATTTCAATATTTGAGATGTAATGCTATGCTTTTCACCTATTATGAAGTCTTAACTGGCTGTGATTTGCCTTCACATGCATGCATTTGCACAGTGGTGACCCTTGGCATCTAAATACAATGCATGTTTTGGAAGCCAGTTCTCTGCTCTGCCACTGCTCTTCTTCATTGGAGCCATCCAGGTAAAAATATACATGAAAGATCTGTTTCATTCTTTGGGTAATGCTTTTTCAAATTCTGTTTCACCTGGTCACTCTGAAGAAATAAAGTGTATAAATGTTACATCAATTAACTGGCTTTTTTTTAGTGGTGTCATTCATCTCTTCCTCATGCTCTCAGACAAGGCCTGGCTCGTTATGATTGACACCTTGCAGTTTTTCCCAGGTTTCAGTTGCAAAAAAAAGGCTGTGAGTTTGCTTGCTGGCTGTTTAAGATCTGTTTTTGTTGTATATTTTGGTAAGTTTAGAACACACTTCCTTGTGGTGAGTGGAGATGGGCAGTGCAAATTACATGCCCTTAAGTAGCTAACCATGCCCCAGCAGTATAATGTTACAGAGAGTGGTATGAAATGCCAGCCTTGCATGCTGATTCAACAAAGAGAAATGCAAACTTGCCAGACTGCTGTAGTTAAAGGTTAACCTTCACTGCTGACATTCACAGCTGTGGCTGTTTTTTTGTTTTTTTCTTTTGCAAGTGGTTATTTGCTTTTAGTGCTGCTTTTAAAAAAATTGTTTTTCCATCATAGTTTCTGACTTAAAAAATGTAGCTGTCAGACATTGTGTCAAGCCCAAAAAGACGACTAGGTCAGATTTTCAGTGCGTGATGAAGTGACTATAAATAGCTCTATGGCAATATGTCAAGATTTCTGTTTTAAAACATTGCCAGATCCTATCCATGCAATATGCAAAATCATAATCTGCTATTTGTGTATATCAAGGCTCATTTCAGTCCAGCTTCTACGATGCTCCCAAAAGAGCAGCCAAAGAGCCATATTCTACTTCTACAGCTGTGGTGTCTCAAAGATACTCTTTTTTTTCTGTTTCCTTGAGTTCTACGCAGCAGATGTCACAGGAATGATTTACCATGTCTGTAATTCAGATGCTGGAGGTAGTAGAGGGTGCTTGTGAGAGACACTGAGTAAGGCAGTATCCAGCATCTAACTCCATTGTGCTAGCTGAGACTCATTTTCCAACATGCTGGCATTCCAACAACAGGATGGGGCTGGTGGGGTTCAAGGGATGGGGGTGGAATTTAAATAACATCACAATCATATTTTCCTGTTGGGTGAAAGAGAAGATTCTGCAAAGCTAATCTGTAGTGGTACCTAATATTTTTAACCGTAGGTTAGGTTAAGGTTTAAACAGCAGTTTAAAGGTTTCAAATGATGATATTTCTTTAAAATGTGATAATATGATACTGGATGTTTATATCCTGCACCATAAAAGTTTGAATCAGAATGTTAACAGCATCATGTTAACATGCTGTTTTCAGTTTCTCTGCTAGGTTCTGAGGGATGATAATTTTAGGAGGATGAAATTAAAAGTAGTTTTTTATTTAAAAAGTTTGGTCATTTGAATTTCTACTTCAGTAATAACTAATAAGGGCTTAATAACGAGTTAGGTTGCCATATACATAACTCACAATACAGCAAAAATACACTTGGCTTTCAACAAACATTAAAATACTTGCTGTAGGCAAAATAATTTTATATGAAGTAATTTACTCTAGTGGTGTCTAGACTTCCTTATATTACTCCAGAAGATTTGATCAGCATTGTCCCAAGTGGTGTAGTGAATGCTGGATAATTCCAGGTGTTGATGCATGCACACCATCTGCAGGTTCTGAATAAAGGGCATATTCTCATTTTATGCAAAGTGTAATGGAGTTAGGACTAACCTGCTATGATCAAGAAATGGGATTTTTGTTTTTTCTTTCTTTTTCCCCCCAGATTACTGTTCTGAAATTATTGAAAGAGGCATCAATTCTTTCAAAAGAATCTCATTCTTCCCATTTGGAAAAGCACTTAAGACTTATTCTATAAGACTGATTTTTATCCTGTATGAGTTGTTCAGTTACATTTGCAGAGGGACCTGGTCATGTTGGATAGATGGGCTGAATCCAGCAAGGTGAGGTTTAACAAAACCAGTTGCCAGGTCCTGCAGCACATCAACCCCTGCAGTGCTGCAGGCTGGGGACAGTGACAGGACAACAGCCAGGCAGAAAGGGACCTGGGGTTGCTGACTGGTGGCTCACTGAACGTGAGCCAGCAGTGTAGCCAGGTGACCAAGAAGGCCAAGGCCAGTGGCACCTGGCCTGGATCAGGAATAGTGTGGCCAGCAGGAGCAGGGAGGTCACTGCTCCCCTGTGCTTGACACTGGTTGGGCAGCACCTCGAGTGCTGTGTCCAGTCCTGGGCCCTCACTTTAGGAAGGACTTTGAGATGTTGGAGCATGTCCAGAGAAGGGCAACAAGGCTGATGAAGGGCTTGGAGCACAAGTCCTCTGAAGAGCAGCTCAGCTGTGGAGCCTGGAGAAAGGGGGCTCAGGGTGACCTCACCACTCTCCACAGCTCCCTGAAAGGAGGTTGTAGCCCGGTGAGGGTCGGGCTCCCAGACAACCAGTGACAGAACAGGAGGACACAGACTGAAGATGCACCAGGAGTGTCCAGGCTGGGCATCAGGAAGAATTTCTTCACAGAAAGGGAGGTTGGGCATTGGAATGGGCGGCCCAGGGAGGTGGTGGAATCACCGTGCTGGAGGTGTTTAAGAAAGGCTGGATGTGGCGCTCAGTGCCATGGTTTAGTTGTCAAGGTGGTGCTAGCTCATAGGCTGGGCTTGATGAACACAAAGGTCTTTCCCAACCTAGTTGATTCTCTGATTTGCAAGCATAAAGATTTTTAATTTGGCAACTGCTGCTGTGCTGTGTGAGTGAGACCTAAAGCTGTCCAGACACTGACGACTCATTCTTATCTTTCTTACCCCTTCAGCTTTCAGAGCATATGTTCAAATACTTCTACTATAGTACAATGGAAGCTGTATTTGCTGCCTTAGCAGTGGGAAGAAATTGTTCTATGATGACACAATAAAACAATGAAGCACTTGAGTGGGGTCAATTACCACCAGGAAATACTGCCAAAGAGTACAGTCCCTGTGCCGTTCAGTGCAGCTCCTTGACAGATTTTCAGGCTGAGGAGATTTTGTGAATACAAATGGGTAGAAAGTTCCTGTTGTTTGCTATGTGGAAGAATAACATGCCATGGGGAGCATACAGTTTTCTAAGCCTTTCAGGCAGTGTTTTTAAAAAAACACTTTTAAATGGAAGAATGTAACTATCTGCATACTACAAGATCTTTTTTCCATTCTCTGAGTTTTGCTTTTCTGTCCTTTTCCAATTAATTATGGACTGGTAATCTATCAAATTGTAAGTACTGGACAACACAGAGCATTTTTATTTGGAGCTAAGGTGTAAATGCTGCTTCTTTTAGCACAGACCTATGACTTGTCTCTCAGCTATTGCTGTTGTGCTCGCCTGGCTGTGATGCTCTCTGGGACCAGTCAGGAGAATTCCTTCACTGTTTTTCGTGCAAATATGAATTGTTTAAAAGCAGTTCATGTGTATATCAGACATAAGTGATAGAAATTAGACCTCAGAACTACTGCAGCTACTAGAAGGAACAAAATCGGCACTAGTGTGTTTAAATTAAGCTCTAAGAGCTCTCTGAAAAAAACCCACAACTCCTAATATGTAAAGCAAAAAGATTAAAAATTCTGCAGGAAATTCTTTGCTAAAATTAATAATTTTCTTTGGGATATTTAGTATTAAATGTTGTGGTCACATTCGTATTACCACTTAGAGCTATATGTACGGTTTCAACTTCTAGTGTATTTACCATGGTGTCATTACAGAGTGCACTGGCAAATGTGAAGGGGGAAAGGCTGCTCCTGCAGTAGCTCAAAGGCCAAGCTCTTGACTGCATCAGCATGTCACTGAAGGGCTGGAAATTGAAGCCTTTCTTCTCTGAAGTTTGAGGTAGGATTTATATGGTATTTACCATGGTGTCATTACAGAGTGCACTGGCAAATGTGAAGGGGGAAAGGCTGCTCCTGCAGTAGCTCAAAGGCCAAGCTCTTGACTGCATCAGCATGTCACTGAAGGGCTGGGGTTTGAGATAGGATTTATACACATTTGTGTACCAGCTTGCACCTTTAAAAAGAGAGATAAATCGAAACCATTAAGGATGCTGGCTACACTTGTGACTGAAAGGGAGTTTATATGAGCAAAGGAAAGAGTTTATAGCCTTGCAAGGCAGGATTGAACCATGTTTACTCTCTATCTTTTTTGTTTTGTTGGTGTTTGGGGACTATGTTTGTTTGTTTCTTGGTGTTTTTAAAATGCAAAGTGATGAAACATTAAACAAAAAAAAGCTCTTCAGCTTTATTAGCTGTTTTGGGACTATCAGAGCAGAGTTCAGTTTCCTTGACACTTTGCAATTTCCACATTGTAGCAGTACGGTAGAGGTTAAATATCTCTTCAGTCAGCAGGCAGTGTTATAGTATTATTCCCAAACACATTTCAGAGTCTGGCAAAGGCTAAATTCCCAGAAAAATTATTTCTCTTCAAGTTAAGTGATATGAGAAACACGTTGAATTTAGCTTTTGCCTCGCTTTGGCTCCGTAGCTGTTTGGATGTGAGGCCAGATGACAGTCGCCAGTGCTGCGGGTCTGGTTGGGTGCAGATGGAGGGTGGTGGTTCCACAGGCCAGCTGGAGGGGTTGACAGGTTTGTCATGCCAAAGTCCAAGACAGTCCCAGGCTGGCATGCTGCGTGTGTGCTGTTCTGCAGTGCTGTGACAAAGCACAGGTCTGTAACCAAAGCCAAACCCACCTGAAAACCCAACACCACGGGCCATGCCCTACTGCAGAAGGGTCATCCCAAATCAGGTGAAACTTCTAGCAAGAGCAATAGGCATTGGAAACTTGAACAAGAGGACCCTTCACTCCATGTGCCCTTGGAAGCCTGGGACTCCTGGAGGTGCAGTTCAATTACAGGTGCATGTATTTATTTTCCAAAGTGAAGAAAAATCTGTTGATATATTCCTTGAAATTCTACTTGTTGTTTCTGGAAAATTAGGAAAATATTTATTAGCAAGTCAGTAAGAAAATTAGGATGGGAAAGATGAAACTTAAAAATGTTGTGTTAGTTGTCACATGGTTATTCACCTGCTCTGTCTTTCAAAAGATATTCTTAGCATACTTATACAGCGTGCAACATACTTAAGTCTATTTTAATTTCATAACTTCTAATAAAGGGAAGACATTAATATTTTATTTTTTCAGTATTTTAAATGTGTGGAAATATGTATATTAAGTTAAACACAGTGGAGAAGTGAGTAACTGACCATGGAGTGGTATCAAAAAGGAATTTAATGGTGTGAGATATGTCTCCTCAAGATTTGTGCTTTTTTATTTTGTGAACATGTTACAAAATTCAACAGCTTGTTGAATCATACTGCTGTTTCTCTGAAACACAGGTAGACCATAAAAGATGCTCTTTGTGGATAGCTCATATCTGGGCATGTGTTCTGATTCTTGGACCCTTCATCTCTAACTACTCTTAGCCAGATAAAAGGAGAACCCTTACCCTAACTCTGTAATGTCTGAGTTCAGGGGTTTTTTTTATGAGTACATTGTATTTTGTGCTTCCTACCTATATCTAGAAAGAGGTAAAAAATACATCCAACCCTGGCCTTCACATTTGTTTGAACAATAGTATGTCCTTCAGGCACAAGGTAAAATTACCCAGAGTTCTCAATTCTGAAAGCTCCTTGGAGTTTATAGTTTTTATTGGTCTGTCCATTGAAGAGGAATAAATAGAGATACAGGTGTTTTATAAGTGATGCCACCTGCATAATTTTACAAATGTTGATGTGGTCTCATTTCTAGTGTGTGATCTCTGTGACTGATGATTGGGCAAGTTATCTGAATATTAGTTAAAATACCAAGTAAGGTAGTTGTTATTTAAGCAAAACAATTATTCTAGATAAAATCTTTTCATGCTTTATAGTACAGTGTTCTAAACTTCAGATTCACTGTTCTTAGCTTCAGATTAAATATATAATAGCAAGAAAAAACAAATGTGTCTTTGCTGTAAAAATAAAAGCCCTGATTCAATATTTAAGATAATGCTTGACTTAAACCAGTAATGTTTCAAGTTTTGCAAAAAGCTAGAATCAATGCTAACTTTATGCAAAAAAAAAAAGGTAAGAATTAACATCTTTGTCCTTTTTACCCATTACTGTGTGCTATCTTTGAACGTGTGTATATGTTTGTGCATACAAGCCAGTAAACTGAAGAATTTAGAAGATATTACTAAGGGAGAAATGAACAAGAAGGCAGGCAGTCTTAAATTGGGGAGTATCTGAAATAGGTCTTGTATACAGGAGAAAAAGTAATTACCCCACATCTATTTCCGTGTGTTACAGTACCTTCAAAAAGCCCATTTATCTGTCCAAGTGGTCTTTGGTGTCTGCTGTCAGCACAACTTTTCAGATCAAACAAGCAGCTCACACCTCATTTCCTCAGTCTGAAAGCTGACATGTTCCATTATTCATAGCCCACAAAAAGTCTGAAACATGTAAGACCCAAAGTTGGTATGAGCGAGCCTGGAGAGTCATAATCACCAGGATATTTCACCAGGAGTCAGTAACTTACCACTGAATTGTCAACAGTGTACCGAGTCCTTTCACTCACCCCTCAAAGAGCAACCACAAGGCAGGCATTCCAAACTTTGGGGAGAAGACACCACACATTTGCAGGGGATGTGCAGAAGACTTCTGCTTTGTGAATGTATGGTGTAGCTTTTATAGTTTGTGAAGTGGGGTGTTTGTCAGTTCCAACTTATCTTTCCATATCTGCTTCTACAGCAAGATGTTTATTGTCAGCTCAGGAATGGGAATCCCATGGTGCCAGAATAACCCATTAACTCCAAACAAGCTGTCCTGATGGAGTTATTTCACCAGTTAGCAAACTCATGTGAGAGGCGAGATGGCCTGAGTTATTGCACCAGCTGGCAAGCTGATAAGGGCAGGGGGCTGCACTCCAAATGCCCTTCATGTGTTGGAGACTCCAGAGCTGGATGCAGTACTGCAAGTGGGGTCTCAGCAGAGCAGAGAGGCAGAAAATGAATGGGCGTGAAAAGTGTTTCATGGACACAGGCAAGGGAAGCTGAAACGATTGGCTTGGGTTTTGAGAAGCTTCTTCACAGAGCTCTGCAGGGACCAGCATGGTCCCAAGCCCTGAGTTTGACCTCAAGTAACTCCTACAGGCTAATTGGTTCAACTCAGGGAATCCCAGCACAGTCCCAACCAATGAGTCTGACCTCAAGTGACCCCTATGGGCTAAGTGTTTGACCCCAGCATTGTCCAAATTTATGAATTTGACCTCAAGCAGTCTAATTGGTTGAACCTAGGTAGCACCATCATGGTCCCAAGTGATGTGTCTCAAGTCAAGTAAGCCCTTGGGTTGACCTATGAGAGATGTCTCAGGGTGCTCCTTGGTTTTTCCCCCTTGACAAGAAACCTTCAAAGCAGTCATATTTTCAAATTTTCGCTCTTGTGGCTCATCAGTACAGACAGAAAAATGAATACACGCATTTCTGGTGCACTTTTAGCAAAAAATATTCCTTTCAGAATGTCCTTTCATTCAATTTCTGACCTAAAATTCTGATACTGCAGTGTCTTGCTGAATTTAATCATTAGTTTGCTTGTCATGGGTGCAAAATCAGGGACCCCATTTGAGATGGTTTGCAGGATTGAGGAATATTCACAAATCCATAGAAATACCACTAACTTCCTGCTTTGACCATATCCTGAGTTTTGATGCTAAAGCAGCTAAGAACTTGTTTCTCTATTTCTTCCCTTTCAGAACGTCAGTACTGGGGCTCAGACCTTCTGCTTACCAAAATACCTTTTGAAGAAATCATGAGCAATGATGAAAGTGCATACAAGTGGTTGTGCACCCTAAAGAAAGTAGGAATTGTTCTACTGACAGGAGCTGCTACAAGGCAGGGAGAATTGATTAGGCTGGGCAACAGGATTGGGTTCCTGCGTCTCACATTTTATGGGTGAGTTTGTTTTATAAAATTTTTGTTTTGCCGGTGTTGTAATCACCTCTAATGTTCTTAATCTAAGCTTGTTATTTCTCTTCTGTGGATTTATATGTTAAAGCAAGGTGTATGTTTTTTTCTCTATATATTAGAAAATTTGGCATCAAGTTCATATACTGTAAAAGATAATTGCTTTGCTGTTACAGGTAGGGTATGAAGGGAAGAGCAGAAATAACACAAACTGCTGAGAGAAGGAAAAGTTCCTGAAAACAAATGTTGTTGAATATAGGATAACAATGAGATAGACTTACTTATCTATGCCATGAAACAAAACCATGAATCCCTAATCTAGTCCCATTCTGAACAGAGGAAGTAATCTGTTCTGAAACTTTTTTTTTAGTCTGATTTTGAGTTATAGATATAGGCCAGACTTAGATGATGGTATTGTGGCCCACATCACCAAGAAGATGGGCTGAGTACCCATTTGCCTGCTTTCTACAGAATATGCTCTGGAAAGCCATAGCCAATCCCAACAAGCAGAGTGCGGCTTGAGGGAGCACAAGCAGGCAGTTGTAAATTATCCTTTTGATGCCAAGAACTGGCAACCTGAAGCTCTAGCTCTGCAAGCACCTACTAAAAGAACAGACAAACCATGATGGCAACTCTCATTTTGCTGAGCTGAATCAGTGACCTCCATCTAACTAAGAAGAAATGTTTCTAGCTAATACTTATCATAATTTTCATCTCTGAAACAGTTCAGTTCTTACTGGCATCCAATTCTGGAGTGGCTTTTGCAACTGTAATAAAATAATAACTCTGGGTTATTATTTCCCTGGTGTTTCACTGGGAGCCAAATACATGGCCTACAAAAGGATAAACTTGGAATTGGCAAACTTGCCAAATTAAACATTACCTCAACAGAACCCTGAGTTTTAAACTGAAATGTAGCAGCAATGAATATAATTCTAACGCATGCAAGAAAAAAGCCTTTCTTCTTGTCTAGGTGTCTGCTCGGTGTGACCTCCCTAAAATGTCATTACTGTAAAAAGTGGAAACATTCTCTCTATCAGCCATATAACAACATCAAGAGTTTCCACATTTTTAATTTAACCTTTTTCTTTCCATTGTGGAAACCCAACTGGATTAATGAAGTCTCCAGTCATACCACAATTCCTTTCTCCAACTTCTCACGCCCTAGACCTTGTGTTCCTCTGTTCTGAAGCCTTGTTCAGTGCTTGGTGTGGTGTCAAGGCCTTCCTTGGGGGCTCCAGCACTGCCATGCAAACAGCCAATCCATCAGTATCACCTGGAGGTCTTCATCAGCAAGAGAAGGACACGTGTCCCAAGTCTCATATGTATAAGACATATACTTTTAATGAAGTGTAAGAACAAATGATTCAAATGTGGCTTCAGTTCCTAGTGCTGCCCTTTGGCAGGACTAAGGAGGTAACAGCCTGGTTTTCTACTGGTGAAGACTGAACCCATATTGCTATCTAATGCAAAAAAATTGTTACACCTGTTTGGTGCCAATCTTCCTACTCTATCAAACAACCTGAACAATGGGCTTTGAAATCTGACCCTAATTATTAAACCACAAACCATTCCAACCCATTTTGCTCTCCTTAAGGTCCCAGAGTCCTCTGACATAACCTTACTACCTGTGCACCCAACATGGCCAAGTTGATGCTTCAGCTCAGTTGAGACTTGGACAAAGTAAGGCTGATTTTTCCATATTCAATGCTGAGCTCCCCATTAGCCTCTTTGACTTCAAGTCAGTAACTTGGGCTTTGCCCAAAGCTCCCTGTGTGGAAAGAAAGCTCCTGGGGAGTGCTTCCCTTGCAAATCCTGACAGTACAAAAGCAATGATTGCTTTTACAAAAGCTTCTGATGATTCTATAAAGTGTTATCACTCCAGCAATTTTATATATTTTGTATAAGACAGTTAAAATGTGTTAAATTGTTTTAGATCCATCAAGTGACACCATAGCCTATTAAATTAAAGATGGAGCAAATCTAGCTGCCTTCAGCACTAATTACAGGAAATATAAAAAGGGGCTATTTTTTGGCTGTCAAACTGTGGAAGTGTGGTTGAAATGATCATACTTGAGTACTGAGTTCATGTGATGATGAATATGTGCTGTTACTCAAGTAATGTACTGATGAATATGTGCTCTACCAAATAACAAAAACTATTTCTCCTAGGCAGTTAAACACATTTGCAAACACTCAAGAGAGTTTTCCCTCTGGAAATTGCAGAAATCTAATTTTAGCATTTTGCTTAATTTCTATACTAAATACCATTCCTAGACCAGAAACATTTATATACTATATAAAAATAATTTTATCTGCATGTTCTTTATCCTATTTTTTTAAAGCTGTTATTAAGAAGTAAAACTAGGCTCACACCATCTGGAACATATTTTCTCTATAGTATTCCACAAGGGAAAATGAGTTTCATAATTTCTTTTTGGTCCCTTGTGTGCACGCAATTATACCATCTCTGTATGGTAAATTACACTTTTCCAGACAAACATCTGGATCTATAACAGATGCATCTTAGCAGATCCATGCATCTGCTAAGGATTGTCTTCAATCATGTGAACTTTGTGTAAATAAACCCTGTGGTTCTGGGTCTCAAATTCTCCTGCATGGTGTGTCACTCAAAACACATTTTGTCTGTGCAGCAACATGAAGTATTCATGTCCTAGTCATATAGCTGTGACTTACTTTTTTCACTGCAGTTGTCAGAAATCTTTTTTACTGAATTGTGCCAAATTCCAAGAGAGAAACTATGTAATAAAATAAACAGAGCTAGTTCTCAACAAGGGTGTCATAGAAAGGGGAGAAGTTTCAAAATCTTTCATCAAGACATTTTTCTCCAGAAACCAAATTTTCAACTTACAGGAAAGATCCCCTGGTAAAGGATACTGTATATTTTCTAAGATTATGAAGCCTTAAAAATAACTTCTGGGGAAAGTTACATGGCCTTTACAAGTTCTGCATTTCATTGATAATGTGCTCCATGTGGTAGGGGGAAAGTGAAAGGTTGATGAAAAGAAATGAGCCAGCTTCTGTTCACTTATTTCTGAAGCATCTAGGATGATTTTTACTGCCAGAAGCCTCTTGGTTAGTGTCTTCAGCTGGCCTTTGCCACCACTAGAAAGCCATCCTTCTTCTAGGTACTGCCCAGGTGCCAGATGTCCCTTGACACACTGAAGTTTTATCTAGGACTGCTGAAATAAGCCTCTGATGGTGTGGAGGGACACTGCTAAATCCTTATTTCATTATAATGTTACAATATTTTCATGTCCAAAGATGAAGTGACTGTTGTACTGTGATTTCACAGTTTCAATGTGTACTGTCTGGCATGCTGGCTGGATGTTCTAACATGTTTTCTCTTTTCCCTTTCATTACAAAGACCAACTTGGCAAGTGCAAGACAAAGCAGATGCTAACAACGTAGCTTATACAACTGAGAGACTCTGTTTTCACACTGATTACCCTGTTCTGCAGCATCCACCTGGGGTAAGTTGAATTTACTGACTTTTTACTCCATAAAAAGGGAAAGGGAAATGTTCCTGTAGTGTGAAATATGGTTGGTGATCAGTGGCTAAGACTTTTGTCTTGAAAGAGCAATGTAAAAATATCAATATATTAATCTGCATATGCTGATCTATATACACATGGTGTGCAATTTGTACAGTATGATGTAAATTCAGCATGTCTCCCATATATCCCATAATTTTAAAATTAAGTTCACAAAGTATTGAAAGTATTACCATATGAGAAAACTTTTGAGTCCTTTATATGCTTTGAATACTGTTCTCATTATTTCACAAAAGTTAGGTGTCTAAATGCTGTAGTCAGGTTGTGACATTTTAGGACTCATCTTTTCAGCTCAGGAGGGGAACAGAGAAAGAAATGCGATTAAGATGGTATAGTCTGTTTTCTGTGAATTGGTGCAAGATAAATACTTGTTTGCCCTTTCATAACACACAAAAAATCAGGGCCATTCTGTACAGCTGGACAACCACAGAAAATATGTTTTCACCCAGTTCTTGTCATATCAAAGTATAATCCACATAATTCACATCATTCCATAGAACTGGAAAGTAGTAGGAAGAGGAAGAGTGACTCAAAGCAAAGAAGCAAGACCTCTTTGCCACTGACTCACAGGTTGTAAGCATTAGAAGATATCCCAATGGGATGGATTTATGAACACGCTATTTTAATTTTCTGGCTTTGTGATACTGGTGGCAGAGTGTTGTGAAGCTGCAGTAAATGAGAGCTCAGTCTGTCACTCGGGAAAAAAAAAACAACCAAACAACAACCAGAATAAAAGAACCACAGATGTGAGAGAATTGATACTAATAAACGGTTAAATATGCAAGCCAACTATTTTTTAAAGAGCTGTTAATTCATTCCAGGTTCAGTTCCTTCATTGTATAAAGCAAACAGCTGCAGGAGGTGAAAGTGAAGTTGTAGATGGATTTAATGTGTCCAACAAGCTGAAGAAACAAAATCCTGAGGCATATCAGATCCTGTCCTCTACTGCTGTAGACTATACTGATGTTGGGGTGGATTACTGTGATTTTGCTGTGCACTGTAAACAAAGGATTATAGAGTGAGTATTTTCAACAACACCTGAAAAGAAAATCCCTGTCATCTGGTGGATGATGTGTTGGTAGGAGAAGGTCTGCTCCTGCCACCTTGTGGGAAAACGCTAGTTTAACCTGGTCTGTGGTTCTAGGTTTGGGTGGAGTTCGTTGGTTGATTGGGATCTTTAGTCTGGTTTTTTTGGTGGAATGTGTGACTTGTTCTGTGCATTGTGCCACTCAGTTGGTTTTGCCACACACAAAGAAGAAGTGGTGGTAATTAGAGTAACTCCTAGGCACATGCACAGGTTAGCAAACAGCCAAATGCCAGCCAATGTACATGTATATATCATGCCAAGGAGAGGTCGTGATTTGAAATATTTAAATTAAAAATTATATACTATCAGAAGATGAAATGCAAATTTCCATATTATTTTCTGATTTTAAAAAATATGATTTATTAAAAAAAGGTTACAATTAAAGAGTGTATAATATAGATCTTTGAACAAATTAAATGTCTACAATTTCTCCTGGTTTTCCGTTTTCCTAGTTAGTATTAATTAGCAAAATCCAATCCAATATCAATCTGAATTTTACTATAGAAACATACAGATACTCTAGCAGGAGAATTCAGTTATTGTTTAATCATCTTGAACTGTTTCAGTAGCAACAGAATACATTCCTTTTTCTTTTTTCCTTTATTTTTTCCCCTTTTCTTTGTTTTATAGCACGGATTCCAGAGGCCAAGCAATTCGCATCAATTTTAATAATGCAACAAGAGACACAGTGTTTGATATACCAGCTGAAAAAGTGAGGCCATTTTATGCAGCTCTAAAGGAATTTAATGATTTATTGAACAGCGTAGAACACAAGCTTACTTTCAAGATGAAACCAGGTCAGTAAGTTGCTTCTCCTCACAACAATTTTTCACATGTTTTTTCCTGACAGTCAAAATACTTGAACACTGCTAGCACTAGTACTCGGAGGAACTTCAAGTCTTTCTATCATCTATTTTATTTCATACTGCTTTCTTGCATTCATCTCATAGATTTATTTTGCCTTTGTTACACTATAAAGAAGAAAAAAGTGGTAGGGGAGAATAGTCTACCTATAGATTAGTCAAATGTACCTTTAAACTAAATACAAAACAGCATTTTATGCTACAAAGCGTATTGGAAATGGAGGTATCAATAGCACCATAGACTGGCAATGCTATGTGTGATATCATGTGTGGCCTTAATCTCTGTTCTTTCATTCCTCAGCATTTCAATACATATATGAATCTCTCAAGAGATACTACAGAAGTAAATTCATCTTTGTATCTGACTGCCTCATATACTATGGTACTTGTGTCTAAAATGTCTGTGAGGAAATTAATCTCTCTCCATTAGAAATACACAATAAAATAATGTGTACAATCACATTAATGTAAAAACAAAGTGCCTTACACTACATTAATGGCATCCATTTTGTTGATTAACGCAAATGATGGTAGAGGGAATGAGGAGATAAGAAAGCCTGTGAGTTTATTTAATTCAAGATTTACCATAATGGTGACACACAAGGGAGAAAAATTCAATTGGTATTCTAGCATTAATTATGCGATTTCTTAACTTTCAGTGTTTTCACTTTGTTCTCATGGAATTCTCTTAACAGGGATAGTATGTATGTGTATAGTACAAATAGTACTAGACTGGTCAAATAAAATGTACCCTAGTGGTTTTCAAATATTTTATTTATTTCACCTCTATGGATTTGCGTTCTCCTCAAGGCTTGATTTTCTCACTATGGACTCCTCCTCTACCACCCTGGTTTTTAACTCTTCATTATACAAGAAATGAAAGAGATGTCAAAAGAGAACTGGCCTCTCTGGTTGAGAAAGTTAAAATTACTGTGTTGTTGCTGTGTATCTCCAGCTGGGCTACTTAAAATTATTGCTCGCTAACTCGTTGATACGAATCTACCTCTGTATTTTTTTGAAGGAATCGGCTCTAACGTTTGTGCAATCTCTTTACAGGAGACATACTGACATTTGATAACTGGCGTGTGCTTCATGGTCGCCAGAGCTACCCACCCCGTTCAGAAGTGACACGTCACCTGGAAGGTGCCTATGCAGACTGGGATGTAGTCATGTCAAGGCTCCAGCTCCTTAGGAAAAGGGTCCTGAATAAGGATTGAGTTTTCTTCTAACTAGAATGATCAAAATGTTGATTATCTAACCTCAATCACAACAGCAATATTAAAAAAATGAGTCGTCTTTTCAGAAACTGACATAACTTTTGACAATAACTTTTGTCATAGAACCAGGGTAAAGGCTTTGAGCTGACAGAGGTTAGGTTTTGGTGAGATATGAGGAAGACATTCTTTCCTGTGAGGGTGCTGAGGTACTGCAGCATGTTGCTCAGAAGAACTATGGCTGCCCAGTCCCTGGAAGTGTTCAAGGCCAGGCTGGGTGGGGTTGCAGCACTCTGGGACTGTGAAAGGTATCCTTGCTTATTGCAAAGGGGGTGGAATGGTATGGTCTTTAAAGTCTCTTTCAACCCAAACCGTTCTATGAGTCTGTCATAAATATATTTTTGATTTCTATAAGCTAAGAAACATTTTGTTCATAACAATTTAAGGTTTATCTGTGGCCTGGTATTTGAATCTAGGAAATATATTGCTATGTCTGTAAGTGTATGTGCTTTTATAAAAGCAGTGTGCAAAGTGGCTTGAAAGATTATCACTTCGCTGGACTGACTGTGGATCACAATGCCTTCCTTCGCCTCTACATATCTACCTGCCATCTTATAGCAGCAAGAAAAGAATCAGCTGGCAATAAGTGTTTGCAAGACAACACCGAAGAAGCTTTTGGGCTGTATCCAGAGGGTCGTAAAGGACATGATTTCACTCAGCTGTCGAAATCCAGAAGTTGTAATGCTGTATTAGCTTTGTGCTGTTCATGATACATCAGCTAACCAGGTGGTGGTCAACAGGTGAAGAAACAGAAAAAAAATACATACCCATTTTACTATTTGAAAATGCTTTTTCTCTTTTGTCCTAGCTTTCTTCTCCTACTGCATTTTGTAGCAGTGGATATTGGATCCAATCCCAAAGCACTGTTTGTATGTATATTTTGTGAAATCTTCTTTTATATAGCAGATTTCCAGCTATTGTTTAAAGTTTACTGAAAGTAAGTAGCATCTTGGGCAGATCAGTGCACTCACATCTCTGTGGATCACTTCAGCACAGGCTCCACTCTGCTGCTGTTGAGCTACCTGCTGCATGGACCAACTAATTTTGGCTGGTTAACCAGAGTCCAGAGAAATCTCCAAATGCCTGTTGTGGGAAGAAAACTGGACAAGCTGCCTAGGTGTACAAGTTGAAATATATTTTAATTTTTATCTATATATATATCTGTCCAGATACATCTAAAATAGTTTTTAGAGTATATACTTAGAATCATGTTACCCAGAGGCATAAAGGCATATGCAGTCCTGTTCCACATTTGGGCTCTCTTGAGTGTGATAATGTCACACTTGTAAATTCAAAACAAATCAAATGCAGCTTTCCATTGCATGCCTAGTTTGGGCTGAAAAATATGTTTTTATTCTGTACCGTGTTTTTCTCTGTCACAAATCAGAGAATAGACTTGGTGATCTTGTCTCAAATTCTCCTTAAGGTAAAAGAGGTTTTACTTTAATCTACACCCTCATAAAGACAGCTGTCAGGGCAAGTCCATAGTTAAAATTTTCATGTTGGAAATATGAAATCACTTGTGTTAAAATCTAACATATTTTAGACACACATTTCAAGCTTACAGCAAAACATCCCCCATGCTGACATGCCAGTCCAGTAGGACAAAAAAGATGGTAAACATGCAGAAAGAAGACAAAAATCCCCTTTTAAAGTAAACAAACTTAAACAAAGTCGAAAGTTTAATGTATTATTAATTATTTTTAATGACTAAGGGGCCAATAGCTTTAAAGCAGGCAGAAGATTTTCTTGCTGTACCGTGATACAAGTCTTATACAAGTCTTTACCCATTAGCTCAAGCAAAGTGTAAGGCAGGAGGTCTAAACATTGGATGTGGATTGCAGAAGAGGATTTCTCTATTATTCTTCTCTTCCAAGCAACCATTTAAACCAATATCCATTCATGCTGGCAATAATCAAGCCATGCATCTCTTTCAAGTTATTTTTGGATGCATTCAAAGCAGTGGAAATCACAGAACAACAGACATGAAGAAGATAGAGAAATTTTCAGGCTATACCCTACTCAATTTCCGAAGTCTTGCCCTGTTTTTATTCAAACAGGAGTGTTGGTATGAAAAGGTGCCAGAGGCCATACAATGCCCTTGAAGGGCAGTGGGTGAGAAGCAGCTTCTGCAGCGCGCACTGTGGTAGGTAGGACGCCTAGAAGCGCTGCTCATGAGGGAGGAGCTGGTTAACATCCTGCAGCATGGCTGGAAAGCAGGAGGACACAATTCCCTCGCTCCTGGTCACACCAGCCCACAGCTGCCTCCTGTCCTTTGCTGTCTTCAGCGCTGTGCTCTCCACTGGGTTTTCCATGCTGCTTCCTGGCAACGTGTCTTTGACTTCAACATGCAAGTACACAAGAACAGGGCAGGTAGGAGGAACGTCCCATCCATTCGCTTTCTTGGCTTCTCTACAAGATTGCCAAGTAAAACAAATGTTGTACAGTCACCTTGTGACTGGCAGCTGAAATCTTTTTGCATCTCTCACTGTTTATCCAGGGATAGGGATCACATAACTACCTGTGGCTCTACCTCTTCCTCTGTCTAGCTTTCTTGAAAGTTAGGAATATTTTTTTCCCCCTTTTTGTTTCCTTTTCTCTCAGGAAATTCTCTCCCATCCATTGCCTAAGAGGTAGTAACGACGGGGGCAAGGGGTGCAGCTGGCCGCAGCCTCCTAGCCAGAGGCTTTTCTCCTGGGAAGGGCAGGAATACCCTGAGGTGTTTGGCTGGGGGCTGAGGGGCTGGGCTCAGCTCCTGGCTCTCTCTCTCGCTTTCGGGACAGGAGGGGATCAGTTGAGTTGATGCTACCGCGGGGAAAATTCACCACCACTGGGGAGTCCAGCCTGGCACTGACTCTTCTTTACCACGGGTGAGTCTCTGCTGATAAGAGCAGCCAGTGAACCAGGACCTTATTAACACCCAGTTTAAGTGGAAAGGACCCTCACCATCTACTGCGGTGCCCCAGGGGAAAACCCAGGACCCTGACCCCTCCTTCTTCCCAGAGGAACATATCTCCCTGGCATCCACACCTGTTGCTGCCTCCCTAGTGGGGAGAAGAAACCCATGCTGGCACTTGCTGCCTCTCATTAGAAGTGGATGTTGCTCTTCTCTCAATGCCCTTAAGATGTGCAGAGCTCCACTCCCCTCACATCAGCTCTGGGCACACCGAAGCCCCAAGCTGATGACAGTGCTGCTGACCTGGTGTGATCTAGCTTTGGCTCACATAGGTTAGAAAGGGGGTCTCAAGTCATGGACTTAACTTGAAAAAGTCATGATAGCTCAGACTAAGGGTTAATAAGGGTTGCCACAGTGCTCTCTGACCTTTTTTACCTTCATTGGAGCTGTGGGCTGACTAAGGGGTCTGATCTGCAGCCAAGACCTCCTGGAGATTAGACAGCAAACAGGAGTATGGCTCTGCAACTACCTCTCCCTTTCAGATCAAATGCTTCATCTCAGTAAGTGCATTTGTGTTCTATTTACCCAGGTTTATTTATTCAGAATAAGGTGAAGAATCATTAATCCTTGAAAACCTCCTTTTTCCTTCCAAGAATTTTCATTTAGTCCATTTCATTTGGCATATAAATCTGAAAGTGTTTTGTACAGAGGCATAGATCCAGTCAGCTTTTATATGGCCAAGGAGCTATATTCTCTGTTTCCAGTGAGTGATTTCAGCAGTATTTTTAGGCTCTTGTTTAAGAAAGGAGAGATGAGCTCACATTTTCTGCTGCCATGCACAGCCATCCTTGCTCATAAGCACATACGTTGCTCCTCCTCCTGTAAGGGGAAAAGGGCTCTCCCAGATAAGGTTGTTGAATATAGAAGGGGCATGAGTTCATGGATTCCTTTCCAGGGCATATTTATGACTATGAAGAATTAAAAAAAAAAATTAAGAAAGGTCTGAAATAGCAAGTACTGTCCTCTCACCATTCAAGACCCCTCACATGCCCTTGCACCCTAGGACTTGTGCAAGGATCACAACACTGCTCAGGAAATGGCAGGAGAAGCACCATAAAACATCACAGTGTTAAGCGTAGATATTAAATCAGGAATGAAAAGTCCTGCCTTCAAAACTCAACATTGCTGCAGCAGCCCTATTAATTTGCATATTTCAGAGAGCTGGATGTAGAGGAGTCTCGATCTGTTCCAGTTCCTTTCTGGGTCAACATAACCTTTGGCATCAGGGACCCAGCACAACCCTGAAGCTGGCTAGATGTACAAATAAGTACATGCTTAATAAGTACTGCTTAAACTTCACTGAACCCAGTTACCACTGCAGGGAGTATACATACAGTATATTTAAGGAATCCTGCAGTACTCTCTGTTGCTGTCTCAACAATGGATGTTTCTGTGAGAGGACATCACTCTCCTTGGGCAGTGGATGCTGGAGGACAAGCTCTTAGCTTAGCATTGTTGTGACCAAACAAGGCAAAGAATCATGGGTTTTTTTTCTCATTTTATTTCTTCACCCATTTGTCATCCAGACTGCCAAATGAAGACCTGTAAAATCCTAGCTCTTCCTTGTGTTTAATGTGTTTTTATTTCATATTTATGTTATCACAGAAAGCAAGGAAAGAAGAAATGTGACTGGTTCCCACTATTGCTGTGTGAAGGCTTTTTTCAAGGGCTGGTGTACTTATGTTCTCTTTTTCCACTCCAAGCTTGACTATTTCCCCTCCTTTTCTGAGGTCTGCTGTATTGGGTATCCCAAGGAGGGCTGGGTTCCTCAGCCAGGCTCTTAGGAGTTGGTGCTGATTCTGCTTTTTCTGAAGGTGAATCAAAGTATGCTACCAAAGACTGTTTTCTCCACTGGAAAGCTTTCCCTCGATGGCCATCAATGCATGTACATGTTTTAATCGTGTAACCAGATGGACTAAGAAAAGCCAAAACCCATAGGAGACTTCTTTTTGGTTTGTGTCTCTGAGAGGTGGGCTGTGTTCTGGAGAGGGAGGGGCATGTTGGTGCATGGCAACAGCCCCAGGTGTGAGCTGTGAGGATGATGAGGGCTCAGTGCAGCCCCGGGTGTGAGCTGTGAGGATGATGAGGGCTCCGAGCAGCCCCGGGTGTGAGCTGTGAGGATGATGAGGGCTCAGTGCAGCCCCGGGTGTGAGCTGTGAGGATGATGAGGGCTCCGAGCAGCCCCGGGTGTGAGCTGTGAGGATGATGAGGGCTCCGAGCAGCCCCGGGTGTGAGCTGTGAGGATGATGAGGGGGGTGGCTCCTGCAGGGGGCAGTTTTAGGCGGTTTGCCTCAGTTCCCTGTTGCATGGAGCTGCTAGAGGAGAGGGGTTTACGGGAGGCTCCCGGGGTTGTCTCATGGAAAGGACGGTGAGAGCTTCTCACGGAGTCCGGGGGAACGCCTGGATACACACTTGGATGTGTGGAGCATTGCTTAAAGGAGGTGCCGAGGAACAAAGTTTCGCGCTGGGAAGCAGCAGCAGTACAGGTGAGGAAAAAAAAAAAAAAAAAAAAAAAAAAAGGAGGGGGGCAGGAGGCGATTATGAGGGCAAAAGAAAATAAAAAGAAGGAAGCGACTCCTCTTCCATTATTGTTTGTGTGTGAACTTGGGGAGGGAGCGGGGGGGCGTCCGCCGTCATTTGTGGTTTTAAGGGTATTGATTTGGAGGAAAACCTGCCTTTTCTAGTGTGTTAGGGGTATTACAGGGGTGATAGGGAGTCCCTGTGCTCTATTTTAAATGGAGGGTGAGCTGGTGTGGATTTGTAGCGGGGACTTTTGCCCTTTCCTTTTTGGTAAAAGTATTGTTGTCGTATTATGGGTTTGAATTGAAGGTA